CACGCATGCCATGTCACCAATAGATATATATATATATATATAATAAAAACTATGTGAGATATATATTATATACATAAACTTAATAGTCATGGTGAATATGTTGTTCATGAAGGTATAGCAAGCTTCAAAAGCTATTGACTCCTATTTTAGTCTTGTGATTTGTTTTCGTTGAATGGTGACTGAACTCTCCAGCCTCCAGCTGCCACCAGCAGAGATTTTTATTGGGAGAAATTAGGTTCTCATTCTTCCTTTTACTACTCATTTAATTAAAACCTTATTCATTTTCATTTTTTGATCAAGGTCCTTGGTATTAATAACATAATTAATTATTTCAATAATAAAATATTTTTTATTTCTAATATATTCATTTAATGTTAAAAATGTTACAATTAGTATATTTATATTTATGGCTAAATTTTTTATCGTATATTTTTATTTTTAGTTTGTACCCATTTTTAATTTGCAACCCTTTTTTAATTTCTTCCAATTTTCTTTTCAGTTTTAATTTGTACCCATATATTAATTTCATTTTGTGCCCATATTTTATAAAGTTTTATTTGTATTTGTACCCATATTTTTTTATTTATTTGTACCCATGTTTACACACACACACACACAATAATATATTTATATTTTAATATTTTTAATCCCACAAATTATGGTTTTTTATTTAAAATCTCATTAATATAAACAACTATAAATTTCAATTTTTAATTTAAAAAAAATATAGTAACGTACATAGAAATAAATTATCACATTAATTTCAGGGACTTGGATCAAAAATTGAAAGCCAACAAGGTTTTAGTCAAAGAATTTTCATAACTAGGGATTGCATCCAAAGTCTCCCTTTTTATTATTACAAAAAAAAGGTAGGCTAACGTCCATCTGTCTATTTGTATAACGGACTCACGGTGGCTTCTCAATTTACAATTTTACACTACGTAATTACGGATAAACATTAACAATTCAACATTTAATCAATATTGTCATTCAGTACTACGGTCTGGTGATATTCCTTTTCACTTAGAAGTGAGAGGTCTTAGGTTCGAATCTCGTGGATGGCGAATACGATACTAAATTAGACTGCTCATTGTGTGGCTTAGTCAAACTCCCCCTCAAATATTAGCAGATGATAAGGAAAAGGAAAATAAAAAATAACAGAGACGATCTCCCTTGCCAACGCTCCATTTGGAGCACACTGCATGAAGACTACATGAAGATGAATACTATGTAGTTTAAGTTTCCTTCCTTGAGAACGAACAGAAGAAGTTCGATTCCCACATTTTATATTGCAGATGCAAAAATCGCACATTGGAAACTTATATGTAAACAATGTGTACCGTCCAACGTATCATGAGAATTTAGTTGGGATTCCCTTATGGCCATATGTAGTAGAGACAAGTAAATAATACATAAAAAATATGCAAAACAATAGAAAAAAAATAAAGAAATAACAAAACAAAAATACAAATTAAAGAAGATGAAGCAAAAGGAGAGTTTTGGAATCCCAATGCAATAGTAAACTGCCGCCCTAATTTTGTCTTTGAATACTCGATCGGAGGTCAAAACTCTCGGGCTTTCTATCTACACATGCAGTGATGCATGCAGTGTGATATATTTAAATGTAAAGCCTTTTAAACTATATGAATGAATGCATGCGACGAAGGCCAACCAATTCAAAAAAGTTTGAGTAAATAATGCAAAATTCTATGTAATGTTTGAGATTATATATAGACGGATTCGTGACATTACTTTTTTACATAACTTTTTATACATATTTTTGTAGAGTTCGTTTTGTAATGTATTTCAACGATCAAATCGTCTATCTTCTAGGTCTTCACTTAAAGATCATATCTAAAAAAAATCACCCAAAATTTGAAATCATATGACTATTGGATTAAGTGTTTATAGTTTCTTTGCAGAACCAGATTCGTCCATTTTATTCACTACAAATGAATGTCTTAATACTTTTTGATTTGTCTAATTTTTTGCAATGATTATTTATAAATAATGTTCTAAAATATAGATGGTTTAGTCAGATAAAATACACTACTGAGTAAGCCAATAAAAACATGTGTAAAAAATTATGTAAACAGTTGACCACGGGTCCACCTCAATATATATATATATATAAACATTACTTGGATGTCAAAACTTTTCGTGATTGATTCACACATTTTTACACTTATAATTGAAACTGTTCATATTATACATAAAAATATATAAAGATTATCTCCCAAAAAAAACAAACATATTGAATCACTATTTATAATGCTGAAGTAATAGTTCCAGTTTAAATTCATCACCTAAATATGATGAAGTCGTTACCTTTCCTATACCTACTTGATCATTCTAATCCACGAGATGACATGCTCGATTAATCTTAGAAACTAGTGAGAGCAATGCCAGAAACTACTGAGATCGATGAATGCACCGACTGACTCTCTTATCAGATACACCTGCATGCACATGTCATATCCTAACAAACTCACTAGCTACCCACTTCAATATATTAATATTAATTGGTGCAGTTGGAGATTCACCAACAAAGGAGAATGAAATGGTTGGGATATAACGTTTGGAGGGTATATTTAGTGTTTGAAATTTATTTGATAAGGAGATATTTTGTGAAAATATCAAAAATAAAATAAAATAAGGAAATATATAAAAAAGGTTGAAGTCTAAACTTTACCACATATCAGAGAAATTCTCAAATTTTGAGTAAATCGACAGATATCATCGATATTTACCGTATATTGGTTAAATATCGGAGAAACTTATATTTCTTCTAAATCAGTGTTTGACATCTCTAAAATTTCATTTTAAATTTTCATCAAAAATATCGATATAGATATAGTCATTGATATTTCCAGAAATTTTCATATCGATATTTCCACGACTACCGATATTTTAAACACTGACTATATTAATAAAAGACAAGTTCATGTGTTATAATTTAAGTGAAATAGTAACATTATATGTTTGTGTTCCAAGTAAACCAAAAATTGCTAGTTTTAAAAGAAATTCCCTTTTCCCAGATACTATCAGTAGTCATTTTTAGCTTCTAATTATTATTTATGCAAAAATATTTATAAATTTAAATTTGTATGGCGAAGATGAACCATTTGGTTAGTGAACAACCCGAGACCAGTTAGTTGTGGGTATGATTTGGGTCCCGTGAAGCATGCGATCACCATCAATTAGAAAAATACGTACCAATTTGACAAACACAATTTCAGTAATTCTTAAATTATGTTATTTCTTAAAGTAATGCCGTCGGGATCTTTTGATTTAGCGTGGCACTAAATCCATTATTTTGTTAATTTTGTTTTCGAATTATATATTAAAAAATGTTAAAGAAATTCTCTCAAAATTGCAACTTTATAAATTATCTATCACCTCTTTTTTTGTATAATATTTTGTAATGTTAACATAAAAATTAATCTTAAACTCTGATACGATAGAAACCCTACAAATAATCATATTTTAAGAAAGTCTAGTTAGTATTTATCTGGTTAAAAAACTCCAAAATATTAGGATAATAGTCTCTTTTCTACCACATGCAATACCAATCAACTCATTTGATTTGTTCTGTTGAATATTATTTTAGATTTGACACTACCTTTGTTTTTGCATGAATTCCTTCCATCTTGCCGAGTGCCGCCAAGAAAGCCTCGCGGCTGCCTTCCACCCCAGCGCACATTAGCAAGTACACATTCAGCCTACACGTGTGTGCAAGCAGCCAATCAAAACATAGTTGAATTCGGAAAGTAAAAAGTTTCCTTTCAGATTTCTACCCAGAGATGTAATCCCCTGCACCCCAACCCACAGTACCAACTTTGAACTCATGCCTGGTTTGAGGCTGTTGTGTATGAAACACTTATTGGATTCTTTGCGGCCATCTCAAATTTGTACTATCAAATTAAATAAAAAGATTTTTAACGAAAAATTTATGGTATTATTTACTTTAATAAAAAATCATATTTTTATTTTAAAAAGTCAATTATGATACTATTCATTTTACCCTTTATTTTGTTCTTTTTGTTAAAACTCAAAGTTTTCAAGTCATTTTCATTAGTTTTCCTTTAAATAAATTAAAAAAGATAAATGAATATAAATTAACAAAAGTATGTAAAAGATAAAGAATTTATTTGAGTGTACTCTTAAAATGACTGAAATCGTTTTTAAAAAAATGTTTTTGGTTCTAAAAGCACTTAAAATGCTTTCTGTAAGAAGCACCAGTTGTATATTTCTTTCAGGAAGTATTTTAAATGTTTTTTCAAGATTTACTTACATTTTTACTAAAGATTGTATTTGAAAATATTTTTTTTAAAAACGCTTTCAATCATTTTAAAAACACTCCAAACGAGCTCAAAAATCGATGTGTGAATATATGAGATCGCTACTTGGCCGTTGATGGGAAAATGTTATGAGTTATATGCTAGAATTGCTTTTGTTAGAAGCCGTGTTAAAAACTTTATTTAAAGTTAACTACCTCTCTAACAAAAGAGCAGTACTTTTCTACTAAACACAATTTGTATGTGTTTTCCCTTTCTTTTTTTTTTTTTTTTGTTATCAAATCAGTTTTAGTCATTCTAAAGACAATATTAACGAGTTATTTGAAACTCCAGCTGAATATAAAAATGATAAATCAATCAATTGAGTTGTTAATAAGTATCACTTAAAATTCGTTTAATTTGACATCGACGGTAAATGTATAATCGAAGGATTGTGCTTCACTTATTTAGAAGATGTCTTAGATTCCAACTCATACATTTACGACTTGTGAGTGGATAAACCGGATTTCGTACCATTCTAAGCAACCAATTGTTGTGAAGTCCCTCCGCTCCGTGATCGTGTACCAATTTAACGGCTCAGATTTCTCGCTCACAGTGTGATCAGAGAAAACTGACAGTTGGTGATCGTCAACACAGAGACGATGAAACGAAACTCGTTACGACGGGTCCCACAGAAGTGTATTATATAAATTCCTTTAGAAAATAGAAAACTTTGGATCCCTGAAACGATGGCGAAGACGAAGATGATGGAATTCTTCTAGAGAGAGAGAGAGAGAGAGAGAGAGAGAGACGAGAGAGAGGGAGAAACAGAGGAGGTCATTGACGATCAGATTGGGTTGCAGAGTAGAGCAGAGGCAGTTTGACTCAGCATTGTATGCTCCACTGCGCCGCCACACGACCTAACACTTCCAAATTTCTCGCGTCGGCGTTTCCGGCGAGTCAAAGTTTCGGCCTTTACTTATTTTCAGCTAGGATTTGGCGTTTGGCGTCGTGATCATGGGGCGGTGAGGCCTGTTTGGAAGGAAGGAAAATTTTGCGGGGTTTTCACGGGAAAGTGGACAGGTAAGAAGTGGAGGTGAAATGAATTGAGATATTAAATGCTGAAACCAATCCCTATTAATTAGGAGAGAAGAAGAAGAGAAGAAAAAGGAAAATCCGTTTAATTATTTTTGACTCCCCTTTGAATTCTCTATCTCTTTCTCTCTCTCTCTCTCTCTCTCTCTCTCTCTCTCTCTCCTCTGTATCTCATCAAACTCTGCTCCAAAGCCTACTCCTTTTCGGCTCTCTGATTAATCACTTTCATTGAAACTTTAATTGAACTACAGTGTGTTTATCTCTCTCTGTTCTGGGAGCTAAGGTTCACACACACACACTCTCTCTCTCTCTCTCTATATATATCTATATATATAGGTATATCTATCTCTCTTTCCTTTCTGTCCTGCAGAATTTAATCCTGAAATTCTTAGAAATGGGTTTTTTTTTTTATTTTTTATGTTTTTTTGGCTGTCCGTTAAATTGAATTTACTTAAATATTTGAGACTAATCCCTTTTCTTTTGGGGTTATTTTCTTCTGGTTGTAGTTGTTTCTGAAGAGAGGGAGAGAAGGCTGCTGGTTTCAGTAAAAAGGTACTGGCTTTCTTACTTTTTTTATAATTTTATCTTTCGGGATCTGATTTAGATCTTTCTTATTCCCCCAACTTTTGTTTTTGGGGTTTTTTTTTTTACAAATTGCATCTGGGTTTTTTCTGCAGACTTCAAAATCTGTGGGGATTTTCCCTTTTTTCTTTTATTTAATTTTCTTGTCTTCAGCCAGTTGGATCTGATCACTGTTTTGCCTGACAAATTGGTGGGTAGAGAACTGGGAATCTTAAAGGAAAGGCCTCATGAGGCTTTTGAATTTTAATATTCATTATTTAGATGTTGAAAGTTTGCAACTTTTTGTTGGGGTCTCAAAAAAGTTGGGACTTCTATCCCGTTGTCTTTTTTGTACGGTGAGAAGTGAGAACTGACTTCAGGAATGCATGGTGGCTACCAAAGTTTTTCAGGATACTCTTTCTTGTTTTCCTATTAATGTGTGCGTGTGTATATATATATATATATATTTTTTTTTTTTTGCTTTTATCTTATCTATGATGGAAAACTCGCGAAGAGGGAGCTTTGTTGGCTTGGAGTTGCCTTTTGTGATTGAAAACTCGATGGGGGTGGCAGTTGTATTTTTTGTTTTTGTTTGCATAGCAGGGGCTGCCGTGATAGTTTTCTTTTGTTTCTTTAGGTTGGTCTTGAGGCTGCTCTGTTGTAATCCACCATTAATCTAATCCATTTCTTCCTTAATAATGTAAAGAAAAAGAGGTAGTTGAGGGAAACTTCTGGCTATTAATTATTGAATTGTTGTTTAGCAGCCTTTCAACTTTACTTTCCCGTTAAGTTATTGTTGGACAAATTTTCCAAGTATTTTTGTTCCAATTTTCCAAGTATTTTCGTTCCCTGTCCTCCTGTTTTTCTCCTGACATTTCGTTTACTTTGATTCGTGTCTGCTTTGTCACATCTTTCAGATTTTGCGCCGAATCTTGTGATTATGTTTGTATGGAAACCTTCTCATTTCATTTCTGTAACTTGAGCATCCTTGTTTCGGTTTAGCTGCCCGGTTATAAGTTTGTCCAAAGTTGGTCTGTTTGAATTTTTTGCTAACCTCTATAAATTACATTTTGATGGGCAGGGTCCATGCTTGAAAATATCGCTTGCCGTAGCTTTGAAGCTTTCAACTGCATTCCGCAATCTATGTGAACCATGAAACTTGGTAATTACCGGTTATTTTTCCTTTTGGTTTTGACCACTCTGCTATTAAACTCTTGCAGCAGACATCTTACTTATGAACTTTTGTAGCCTTTTGGAGTTCTATCTTGATATCTTAAGTTGGATAGGGCTATTTTCTCGACTGGGCCTCCAAATGAGTTTTTTGTGAAATAGTACTTGAGTTCAATATTACTCATCTGCAATGTGTTCTTTGTAGGGAGAAAATGAATGCTATGGTGTTCAGATTTCCCTGGCACTGATAATTTTGATGTACTTGCAGAGAGAGAACCAGTGTTTGGTCACTTACCTATAAGCCACAAGCCTGATTCGAATCCTTTTAATTGTAATGACATTACTCTGGACTCCGCGGGATTACAGTCAACAAGTCAGAATAGGGTTTCGTGCAGTTCAAAGGACAATGAAGAAGATGATGGTCAACTACCATATATGAGAAATGGCTTTCCCGTATCAAATTTTAGGTGCTCAAAGACTCTGGGTGATTTGGAAAAGAGTAATGATGATGAGGCCATCAAAGGTTTTGGGTCGCCATATTCCCGTTCTTCTGAAAAATTTGAAACATTGGAGAAGGAATCGGATTATTATATGGACAAAAGTGTTACGGAATGTGAACTGCCCGAATTGATAATTTGTTACAAAGATAGCAGTTGTAATACAATTAAGGACATCTGTATTGATGAGGGAGTGCCTTCCCAAGACAAGAATTGGGTTGAAACCGGGTTGGATGAGAAGGCATGCTGCACCTATTTACCTCCTGATGAGGATCAGAATAAGCAAATGCATGAAGAACAATTGGATATTGTTATTACCTTTCCAGATGATTTTAAATCTACTACAAAAAATGATTTAGAGAAGGGGTTTTCCATTGCTTGCAATTCCAAGGAGCCGATGGAGAGAGGCGATGCTATAAATGATGGATCAGAGAGGACTGCAATTGACGTTTCCAAAGAAGATTTTTGCCCGGCAAATGTGCAAGGGTTTGGTGCAGGGAACCCTCACTCCAAGTCTTCTAATAAGGACAGCAATGAAGCCGAACAAGAGACTATTCAGGTATATCTCTAACTCTAAGTTTGTATTATTGCATAGTTTACCTCATGAATCTCCCTTACATTCGAGTTTTGTTTCCATAGTCCTTTGGCAATACTTAGAACTGAGGCTATCTGGTGCTTAAATAATCATTCTTTATAGGATAAATAAAAAAAAATTGCTTTTGTCAATTTCCATTTGCACGCATGAAGTGGCTGCGGCGATGATTCTTAATGATGACCTATGTTTATGTCTGCGGTTATGCAGTGTTACTGACAGTTCCATGACTCCATTGCTGCAAGAAATAATAAAAAAAAAATTTCTCTTAACGGAAGTTATACTCTTAGCTTGATGTTGAGGAAAACTATACTTGTGGCATATAAGCTAGAGAGAAAAGAGAGGTGAAATTTTAGAAATTGATGTAGTTTCCTGTGGTTTCAATGCAGATTTCAAGGGAAATAGCAAAGACTGAGAGCCCTGCTTTGGTTTCAGAAACTGAAGAGGCTAACCATAATGAGAAGGAAGCATTGGTTTCTGCAGCTGAAGAATCAAATTGCCTTCTCGGTGAGTTATCTGGCAATAGCAAGGCAGAGAGCGGAAACATTACTTCTGCTTTGGACGTTTCAACACATGTATCCATTACCACAGATGTGTGTCCTCAAAATGGTGTATGCGATATGCCCATGGATGATGATAGTCATGTTGACAAAGACGACAATATGTCTGATTCAGAGGTTGTGCCAAGCCAATTTCATCATTGTTTAGCACCCGTGGTTACTGGAAGAGAAGAGTGTCCTGAGAATGGTGGACATCTTGAGACTTCAAATACATTCAACAGTTGATGGTGACATTTCTGATTCAATGATTGGTTCGAGCCAAGTTCAACATTGTTTAGCACCTGTGGTTACTGGAAGAGAGGAGTGTCCTGAGAATGGTGTCTGTCAACATCTCGATGCTTCAAACACGTCCAAGGTTGATGATGACATTTCTGATTCAAAGATTGTTTCGAGCCAGGTTCAACATTGTTTAGCTCCTTTGACTATTACCAGAGATGAGTGTCCTGAGAATGGCGTCTGTCAAGGTCCCGAAACTTCAAATACAACCAAGGTTAATGATGACACTTCTGATTCAAAGATTGTTTCAAGCCAGGTTCATCATTGGTTATCTCCTGAAACTTCGTATGCATCCATGGTTGAAGATGTGAACTGTTGATGCACACAATGCTCCACTCCAATTTCAACGCAGTCTAGGAGAGTCAAGTTTCTCAGCAGCAGGTCACTTCTCGAGTCTCATAACCTCAGGTCCCTATTCCGGCAATGTCTCCCTCCGATCAGAAAGCAGCACCACCAGCACCCGCTCATTTGCCTTCCCTGTGTGAGTTACTCTCAAACTCCTTCCTCTCTTTTGCTTTTCAAACCGCCATCAAGTTCCTAGAACCCACAACTGACAACACATTCATATTCCCTCTTTGTCATGCAGATTACAGCCCGAGTGGAACAGCAGTCCAGTTAGAATGGCGAAAGCTGACCGGAGGTATTTGCAGAAACATAGGGGTTGGAGGGGTTGTCTTCTTTGCTGTAGATTCTGATTCTCTCCGAACGCTTCCATCTAACCGTAGTTATTAAGTTTAAGCCAGAGTAAATGCTTCATCATAGTTTTATCACATCTTTTAAATTATCATCGTCAATACGTACATCATATTTTCTGCGTCTTGGGATGTTATTTGCAGTAGGTTTAGAGGAATGTCATGCTTTTTGTTATGCGTGCGCTTTAAGGTGTAAGCAATGACATATAATTCTCTCTTTAATTTTTCATCCGTTATTCTTTTTTTCCATTTTCTTTCTCTTTTGGAAAGAACAAGAAGAATCTTGTTTATATTGAGCTTGGGATGGTTTATGGGTACATTTTCGTTTTCTTATAAAGTGTGGTCCAAAATCTACTCGAATACCACTTAGCGAAATTCTCTCCTGTACATTTTTATTTACTCGAGTGAACAGTTAAGATTTAATTAAATGAAAATGCTTTGGTTAAGTTTCAGTTGTTCTTTTTTCTGAAATAATGCACACGAGAGTAAAGCTCCATGGTTATTAGAAATCTAAGGTATCAAGCGCAAGTCTCTTGTCTAGAAATCACTAATGCTCCAGAAGTATTTCTTTATAACACGAACTGTTTAATAAAAATCTAAGTGCTTATTACAAAAGAATGTGGAAAGGATTTTTGAAGAAGTATCTGATGTGTATCTCCAAAAATTGCTTCTATCATCATGAAGCAATTTTTGAAGTAGCATTTCAACCGCTTGAATTTCTTTCTTTTTTGAACAGTCCAGATCTCTTAATTCGCAGACTTCGAATACAAAGATCCTAAGTGGATCTTATTCTTGCTATTGTTTTTCTTTCCTGCTAGGCTGCTATCCTATAAAACAAAAAGAATTTAAATGTGACTACAAATTGAATGATTTATCGACATATACTAGGTGGCCCGTCACCTTTTGAGCTATGCAAGGTTGGGAAGTGATGGAATCAAGATTCAAAACACGTCATAATATAACAATCGAATCTTTTCTTTGTCCCGATAGGCACGAAGGGGTTGAGACACGGTTGAAGGTAAAAGAGGTATTATCATTTTGGGAAAGACATACATGCATCTTTCCAGACTTCACAATGATATTTTAGGCCAGTAATACATTGTTATACTAAAAGAAGCTTATACTTGATATTGTACTATTAACTCCAGCATTATATAAGACGTGTTCTTAAATCATGCATAAATTTTAACGAGATCAAAACTTAAATGCATCATTGAAATATTTAACGAGAAAAGAACTTACATGCACCATCATAGGTTAATGATACGTGAAATTAATAAGATAGTTATAAAACAGGAAAAAACCAAATGGTGTGAAAACCTTTTTAAAAGAAAACATAGTTAATTTGAGAAAACCAATTGCATCTGCCTGTATTGGAACTCTCCGTATTGTGCTTAGTGTATCTCCTCTCTCTCTCTCTCTCTCCAGAGTTGCCTACCGGCTACCACTACTGTTGATTGATATAAATCCAACGCCATACCCACAAAAGAAGTATATATCAGTATTCACAGTTAATAATCTTAGATGGTATTATGGAGATTCCATTCTTCACTTTGCTTTGCTTTCTAATCCTCTCCGTTTTGCTAATTACACCCGGCTGTGCTTCTCTGCAAACTCAACTTCAACCATCCAACAAACAAGGTACTCTCTCTCTCTCTCTCTCTCTCTCTCTCTCTCTCTAGATTATATTAAGACTTTCTGGGTAACCTTTTAACATTGTGATGCAGGCAAGAACGAACTGCAGGTTTCTTTCCCTACACTGCCAAGGAAGCTTAGATTGACTGGAAAAGTAACTGCAAGAATAATCTCTCTTTCAAACATTACTAGCTACAAGAAACTAATATATATTGTATATTAATATTCTCATTTTTCTTCACACTTTCTAATGAAATATCAATTCTTATAACTTCATCTCCCTCTCCTCCTCATATTATCTGAAATATTTACATGCAGGTTGCGGAACAAGAAGGTAAAGATTCCTCAGCCTACAACAACCACAAGGAAAGTGCTTTAGCAGGTATAATGCTTGTTCAATTCTGTAAAATTGTTTAGTGCATATATTAAAGATGAAAATTTGGAAAACGTCATGTAGCTAGGTTTGTTTGTTCAGCAGTTCCAAATTTGACAAAAGGTGCATGATGTAGCAAGGAAAATACTTGGCTCTATACATGAGTAGCATTTCATTCTTCCTTACAAACAAATCATAATGTGATTCATAGGATAGGAGGTTTAACGAGCCGAGCAGTGTTCATGTAGCAAATGGTTTCCAATTTTCAAATTTATTCTCTTTAGCTGAGTACTGAAGAAGTACTTAGTTGCAGGGAAATAATTTTCACTCTTTTTTTGTATGCACACTTATACTTATGTTTATTTATGACAAATAAGGTAAAAGAATTAATGGACAAAAATCCTTTTTTGTATGCACACTCATGTTTATTTATGATATTTCAAACCAAAAGTAAAAGAATTAATGGATAAAAATAATCAAGAGTACGTAGAACGCGTTTCGTTGCGACTTGCTAGTGTGAATAGCTAATTTTTCCAAGTAAGAATGACACCTAAGCTAGTCAATGGCCTCTGTCATGTATAATATCTAGACATGTTTTGAATAAAATATTAAGTGTCATTGACTTTTCAGGTGGTAAGAAGCCAAGAATCGAGAAAGAAGAAGATGAAGAAGTGCAGGTAGTGGAAAGAAGCAGATCAGCAGAAACATGGCAGGAACAGATGGAGAAGGAGGACACGTCAGAGTTCTTCACCATGGATTATCACAGAGTAAGACGACGACGTCCCATACACAACAAGTCCTTTCCTGCAGTTACACAGTTTCTCCATGAAACATGCATGCCTGTCGCCTGTTGACAGATCTTGATCGAAATTAGAACAAAACATTTTGGATACGTTAATGCTAGGGTTTGTAATTAGGGAGGAAAATGAGGAGTGTATGTTTTGTTAAGCATCTCTTGTGGCCGACATTAAGGAGCAAAACCCAAGATTTGCTACTAATTAACTAGCTAGGACGACCATATATAGGTCCCAAATTAAATTATTAATGTTCTTTTTGTTGAGTTGGGTAGGTCTTTGTGGTAGTCAAATGAAGACTACAAACCCCAACATTTGGTAACATGCTCTCACGGGAATTGCAAAGGCATGTTAAAGTCAGTTGATCAAAACAGTGTTTTTGGTATTTTGCTCTCTTGTTTTCAAGTTTGATATCTTTTTTTTTTCGTCTCTCGGTAAATTAAAATAGTTTGGAATATTGCTTTGTTTGAAGAACATAATTTATTGGAAACCAACATTACTTTACGTGCTTAAGTTTGATTATAGTAATTAAACAAGTTTTGTTATGTGGCACAAGTGGGTGATTATCTTTGGTAGACTCCTTGTAATTGTCAACTAGTTAATTAAACTTAGCTTCTTAATCGAGGGAATTATATATAATTATAATATAATGCATGTGTTTCAAGTTTCAACTTTGAATGGTGCCAAAGATCGATGATTCCAAAACTTTGACCTAATTATGTACTCTAAACCACGTCTTCAAATTTGAATATTGTTTCCATAGCCATACGTAATTCCAATGGCCATTGTAGGTTTTGTATCATGGGGCACAAACTTAAAAGACAACATTTTGCTCTCAACTTGTAATTACGCACTATATGATCTAAAGCATTTGAGGAAAAATCAGTCAAATTGATTCAAGGATTAAGTACCGAAAACTCTTTAACTTTTTAAACATTTTAAATACGTACCTAACTTATTAAAAATGTCACATCCATTAAGCTCCAGTTAAATTTCTGTTAAATTAACTATGACTTACTTTGTCTCTAAAATCAATAAAAGGTCATGCAAGCATGACCTTAACTAGCTAACGGTCACTAACATCCACATCGGCCCATCACCTCCAAACTCAATGCACAACCACCAACTCCACCCTGCAACTCAAGCCGCCAACATAAAAAAGAAGGTCATGCGTGTTGCTAAAATGGTAATTGTCATGATACGGCAACCACTATCTTCACCAACCACAAAGAAGTACTGGAAGCTGAATTAGTTGGTGAGTTTTGAATATAAAAATTGTGACAGGATTTTGATGGTCGTAAGTTGAGCTTGAAGGTTGCCAGGCTTCATAATCATATTACCCGATCTTCAATTTTATTTTCCTTTTTATTTGTGAATTTGTTTTTGTTTTTTTCATCTTCATGTCTTTTTTAAGTTGTTTTTATTATTATTTTAGTGTTCAAGTAAGCTAAAAAGTGGGATTCATTTGTTGAAAAATTAACTGGGGCTGTCCTGATGTGATATTTTCAATGGATTAGACTCTTATTTGAAATGTTTAAAAAAATTAAAACTAATTTAGAAAGACACTAAAACATTGAGGGTTTTGGTTTATATACTTAATCCTTAATTCAATTTAAGAATATTAAAAAGTTAAACGACAGGCGTTTAACAAGCGAGCGGCACCCTTCCAAGTACAAACCACTAACAAAACGACGTCGTAATTCTTCAGCACCTCTGACGATTGCCAAATCTGTAGTATCCAAACAGCAAACGAGGGATCAAACAACAATGGAAGACTTATGGAAGCGAGCGAAGACCTTCGCCGAAGAAGCGGCCAAGAAATCCCAAACCCTAACCACCTCCGCCACGATCACCGACCTAGTTTCCGAAACCGCCAAGCGATCCCGTGAGTTCGCCGCCGAGGCGTCCAAGAAGGCTGACGAGATCAAGACGGCGGCGCTTAAGCAGGCCGATCAGATCAAGTCCCTCAATGTCTCCGAGATGATACCTCCCCAGCTCGCCTCGCTCTCGATCGTCAACTCCGCCTCCGCCTCGTCCGCCCCTGAGCCGCCGTCGCCGTTGGAGCTCAAGAAGTTTGGTGTCACGACGATCTCAGAGATTTTGTCCAGGGACTCACTTCCGATACCTTCAAGCATTTTCCGGTCCAAGGTATTGGCCGATTTCAGTTCGTTTGTTTGCTGATTTCAGTTTAATTGCTTTGAATTGAGCAAATGTGCGTTGTTCTGAGTTGTTTCAGATGCGGCGGAGGAGGTCTCCGATGTGCCGACGACCGCATCGAATGTAAGGAAAGATCTGACGGAGTGGCAGGAGCGGCATGCGACTTTGGTGCTTACTACTGTCAAGGTCAGTTTTGTAATGTATTTTCTCTATCTGTTTTAATTCTGATACAGCGAAACTCAAACGTGGTGTTTAAGGTCAATGCAATCCATCTGAGTTGTATTTCGAACTTTGATTCCCCAATTTATTAAACAATTTGATGACGAACTGTGTTAAAATTTGTATTGATATCGTTATGGACTTGTTGATATCTTCCTGCGTATACTGATTGCCTTCCTGCAGGAAATTTCAAGGCTGAGGTATGAGTTGTGTCCGCGAGTTATGAAAGAAAGAAGATTCTGGAAGATATATTTTACCCTTGTGAGCAGTCATGTGGCTCCGTGAGTAGAAATTCAATTTGGTTAAGCATTTCTCATACTGAGCAATAACATTATTTGAAAGTTTTATGCAATGGTGTTTGTTTTTTCTCATCTAAGTGAGAAATAATGTTAAACATGAGACGATCAATCATCTTGTTTTAGTGTAAAACATCATCGTGCGTTGTGAACTTATGACAGTTGTTTCACGAAAAGTTTAAAGATGTTTATCAATGCTTAGTGAAAAGAGGAAGCACCAAAATAGATCTAGATACTTTTTGTCGGGTGTTCGGAGCTGAAAAATACTTTTTTTTTAACGGGGAGGGCTCAGTGATTTTGGAAAATTATGGTCTCAGTTTGTAGCCTCTTCCCTTAGATGACTGACTATAAACTTCTGATCAGATATGAGAAGCAATACATGGAGGAATTGAAGGTCGAGGAAGCAGAGAAACTAAAAGATGATATTGTGAAGCCAACACCTCCTGTTGGAGGAACTGACAAATCAGAAGGATCTGAAAAGAACACAAAGCCTTTAGTTTCAAAATCATCGTCAGCTGAACAGGAATTGGATAGTTTCCTTTTGGGTGATCTTGAAGACAGTGATGGGGGTCCGGGTATAGTTCCCTTACCTTTTCACTTGCAACCTGTGTATAATATTTTGTGCCATGCCTGTATATGAGTTTTCCCATCATCTTAAGTTAGAGGATGCATATACCATTCAACTTATTGCTCTAAATTCACCCTATCAAGCTGTGTACTAGCCGTGTTGTGACCAAATCCTTACTAGTCATAAGAGTCAAACCCGTCCACAGCTCCTTTGTAGTTACATCGAGACAATCCTCTCTTTTTCTAGGGTTTTCCTTCTTGTGCAATTTACTCTTCAGTTTGTTGACAATTTTGTACTTTCAGATGATCGTGATGATGGTGATCGGAGCTTTGATGATGATTTTGACAAGATCGACAATTCGGTAAGTTTCATTTATCCCACGGTTCAACTATAGAACTTTTTTTCCGTGTGTGCATTTTCAATTCCATGTTTTATATTACATTTATTTTGTCAGTGTTTACATAATCACCAAACCTCCAACTTAGTTTGACCCCAACGAGTTTGGAAAGTGCCATAAATAAAGTACCAGTGCGAGTGATTTATGCCATTTTAACGGAAACTTGCAGGATGTCGAAGATGAGAAGCACGAGAAGAAATGACAACTGCAACAGAATAAAATTGCTGCCATGGATAATATGAAGGAGAAAGCAAAACTAGCTTCTGTAAGACTAACAAATAGATCGAGGTAAACCCGAAGCGAAAGACGTCAAGCAGTATTTATTTCTTTATCTCACATTTTTTTCATTTTTAAGTTGTAGAGTTGATTACTTTGTAAAACTTGAAGTGGGACGCCATATGAAGTCATCCGTTTGTTATATTTGCCGTAGACAGTGACGGGTATTGGTACTCGTTTGCCTACAAATGGGTCGACCCGGTTGCTTTGTTCTTGTACAGATGACCTGATTATTATGTTAAATAATAAATATGGTTCTTATTGTTTAATGTCTATTAGTTCTGCTAATAGTACCAATATCAACCGGTATCCCTCTCCACTGGTAAAAATATCTCGAGTTTGATTCACTCGGATGGAGAGTTCGATAACTGATCATTTCGGTATGACTCGACAAAGTCAGACACGGGTTCTCTTACTTTGTGGAAGGTGTCCGAACGACATGGTCAGACACCTCTACCCAAGTTTTTCTCGACTTGGGTAGTGTGTATGGAATGTACCTTACGTTCCACTTCCCTAGCTAAATGCAAAATAATTTTTGTTTGAGACACGAGCTAACAAGTTTATTACCACGAAATCGCACCTGAAGGGCTCCATTTGTTACACTCGAAACAATTGTTCTCAGCATGTGCTCAATGAAATATGTAAAGGGAAAAACCAAGGCACGGCATGTACACTAACCGGAAGATGGGCACTAAGACATCCCAAAGCAGAATAAGGGAGTAAAAATATGGGTGAAATGGGAGAACAAGGAGATGTCACACTGGTTCTATGTCTTGAGGCGCTTATGGGCATGATCGGAGTCCTCTCCGCTGCCAGCATCCCTAAAATGCGCCATTGTCTGATTGCTTGAGTGGGGATTATCATTATCCTGGAAAGAAAAACAAATAGACTCATCTATCCTGTCTGTGAGAACGAGCGATAAAACTTAGGAGTCCCATATAGCGTTTCTCTACAGGTTGAGAAATCCATAAGAATGGGTGGAAAGACCGAAGGAGTGTTGTAATTTGAAATATAGAGACCCACATGCTTTTAGAAAGATGGTTAACCAAGAGAGTGGTGAGGGCAGTGGAAAGAAAAGCAAATGAATGGAACCACTTATACTATTCCTTGTTCATGAAATACCCAATATATACCTTTGAGGCAGGTGTTCCAGAGGACAGCCCTCGGTTTGCACGATTCCCAAGATCAATCTGCACTGAGATACTAGCCTGCGACAGATCAACACCTGCACTCTGTAGCGCTTGGCTCAGAGAGTTTAATAACCTGTTCATAATTGGGCAGTTTGAACTTAGAACCAAAGAAACTGATCAAGAAAATGCATGCCGTACACTGCGTTACAATATAGTATACAAAACAATTAAGCAAATGTGACCAATAATAAAGATCTGGAGTCGCAATAGTTAACTGACAGGATCGAAGCAAAACGTAGTATGGCAAATATTTACAGAAGTTAAATGAGACTCTTAGTATGTTTTATTTTTGATGTTTCTCAAAATGGTAGGTTCTATATATATATAGTTTGAATACTCACCCTTGTGAGTATACGCTTGAGATGCTTATTGTTCCACCTTCAATTGTCAGCTCCTCCTGTTGGCTCAGCACATCGCTAGCGCTAGTGGTGGGGCACTGAGTTGATTGAGCATCAGAAATTTGTCCTGGAGAGGATGGGCAAGCACACCATCACTTCTGACCGGGGGAGTCATGTTTGGTAGAGGCATAGGCAGAGGAATCCCCTTGTTCACTATCTCAGGTTGCCGATCCACTATTTTGGAGGCAACATCCCTGCTAGGGTCAGATTCTACTGGATTCGGTGTGCTGTTTGGCAGCATGTTCGGATTGATAGAGATGTTATTGTCATCAAATTTTCCAGGAAATGGTGACACTGGTGCAGCATCGCTCTTTATGGCCTGAGGATTTCCAACAAAACTCTGAACACGCCAGTGACTATTTCTCTGTTTCATGAAGGGGGTAAATGTTTGACAAGAAAGTAGGTGTCATATTCAGAAGCTATGGTCATTGTCTTTTATTCACCAGAAAACATAAATTTGAAGCGGTTTAATATGATTCCACCTTAACAGCAATCGAGCCCATCCCATAATTACCCAATTAATCATCTTTATATGCAAAGAGCCAATGACAACAACTTCAAAATGGAAAAAGATTACCAAAACTGCTTAGCATGAGTCGGGGCACAACTGACTATACTCTTGAAAAAATTTGTAGAATACTTTATGCAGGAAGGCAAGCAGTCAGATGCTCCGAGGTATACTTGCATAAGCATTCAGGTGAACATATCAGTACACAAGATTCAGAAAATTACCCATGGCATTAATTTTGTCGGCTCAGGACTCCAACCCTGGTATGAACCCTCATATTTTTGTACTTTTTCCTGTAAGTACTGGACATACTCGATCACCTGCAAAAAGATGACCAATAACCAAGTAACCTTAAGGACAGTGTGCTTCTAAAATAAGTTTAACAACTTACGTGGTTTTCATACACAGAACGTACCTCTAGTAGGAATGATGCTGTATCTCTTTTCTGATCACTATGGGGTATTAGATCTCTCAATATCTGGAATCTGAAAGAAAAATTTAAGCTCCCTCAAACTCTATCAACAAGTAAATTGACAACTCACTTAACCAATTACACGCTTCTTGTTCAAGCATCATGTAATACCATGCATTACCAGTCGTAGAACCAGAACTTCAACATCTATGATGTAACCACCATCTGGACAACCAACAGTTCAAAGACATGGACGGATTCCACCTTAAATTAAAACCATACAAGCTTCACACTTTATCTACCCTTTAGAACTTGAACTAATCAAGCAATGAATTTGTTTTAACAGAAGAAATTACATTCGTAAGGTAACAAGTAAATGCTAAATTAGCATAGCATCATCAACTAATCAGCTAGTTAGCAGTAAGTGTCATCTGTACAAATATCCGAAGCACTGCCATTTACACCAGTAAATTGAATCGAATGACAGATAAAGTGCAATACTCTACGAATACACCAACAGAAACATGAGAATTTGATGAAAACAATTGCAACAAAGCATACCTCTCATTGATCTTGCTCCTCCTCCTCTGCTCCGTGACGGAATGTTTCGATCGTATAACACTAGCCTTATCATTGTTCTTGGCATCTAGTTTCCATATCCAAAATCCCGAATTGCCAATTAGAAAAAAGAAATGCATGCTCACCTCAATACACCCACAAAATCAACAGAAAAAACAAAAAAAAAAAAAAAAAAAAAGCTAAAAACAGTAAAGGTGAAATATTTCGTACACAAATTCCAATCAAACAAAGAAGATTACAGCTTCCAACGCAGTAAATCCTAAATATATAACGTTGGATCTACAATTTCGAGAAAACCATGATCGAAAACAAGGTGGGTAGAGATAAAAATGTCACCTTTGCTGTTGGAATTGGAAGAAGGGCCCTCTTTCCGGGAGCCAAACTCCTCGTCGTCGTACTCGTCCTCCTCCTGGTTGCCTTTTGCGGTGGTTCTCATCCTCCTCTATGTGAATTCGGATGGGTCTGGATTTAATTTCCAAGACTTTATGGACAAATCTGAAAAATACCCCGACAAGAAAATCTCAGATACGTTACACTCGACGGGGGAATTGGAGATTTGCGGTGTCTGATTGGAAAACTGAAGGCGGCGGAGAATTGGGTTGGGGTGTTTTTCCCGGCGGAGCACGGCAGCGGAACCTACGCGGTTTAGTTGAGGCAGCTACTGATGTTGGTTGTGCTCTCTCTCTCTCTCTCTGTCAGTGCCCTGTCACCACCGTGACTCCGTTTGCGCGAGAACTTGCTGGAGCAAACATTAGCATGTGGGTGACCTCACGTGCTTCCCGTGAGGTCACTTAATAGACCTTGCTTTTTTACTTTTTTTTTTTTTTTTCTTTTCTTTTTCCTACTTGGCAAGCCATGAGGGTTGATGGATTGAATGGTCACGATGTAAAGGACGACCAAGCTTAGATGATCACAAGGGTTGATGGATTGAAGTTTCTCTCCCAAACTTCGCATGTGACAGATATGGTATTTTGTTATTTTAGGAAAGTACATGTTCATTAGGAAAAATAATTTCTTTAAATTTGTGATTATCTAACATTTCAATACGCGTATATATTGCAACTTGAACAAAAGCTTCGGTATGACCGCTTTCAATGTTTTAAATATCGACACACAAGCATATAATATTCTTTAAAGTTTCTATTTTAAATTAATACGTTTTTGAGTGAATTTCAATAATTTTCATCAAAAGCAACTGATATTAATATTAATATCTATATATTCATTGGTATTTAACAAATTTGTATATCAATATTTTCATTTATGCTGATATTTTAAACACCGTCAACTTCTCTCTAATCAGCCCTTAATTCACTTACTAATGACATGATGGCCCTGCAGGCTAGGCCCGTACTCTCGTGCAGTTTTTATGAAGTTCGTGGAGTTCCGTCATGCATGGATTGCCAATGATTACGAAGAATTGTAGGAAACGAAAGGACGTGCATGGTATGTGGCTACATACATGCACAATAACCCCATCCCCACGTACGTACGTGCTTTTGCATGATTTTTGCTAATTAATCTCCTGATGCTATTTATATTACCTCAATTACTCCGTAATGTTGTTACACATACAAGATGGAGCCTGCATTCGAGTGACAAGTCACACCTGGAGAGGCCAGTCCCCCATTCATCCCGCCACGTGGCAAGCATCAACCGGTGCTTGCCCCCCTCGCGAGCTAATTAAGTATTAACTCTTAATTAGCTTCGTAATGGAGGGATGAACAATTGAAAGCAATCAAACATATGATCTTCTGTTCTTCATTGTGTTAAACCGATTGGAAATTGTGAAACTTCAGAATCATATTAGTCACACAGATTCAATGCCTTGTGCGGTTTTTTCACAGAATAATCATTATTCGATTTCAGTTTTATTTTTTCAAGTGATAAAATTGTGGGCAAAGGCATGTCTCTGTGCAGGGCTCTCCTTCTTCCTCTTAATTTGCATCCCAATTTTAATCCTTCTGACTCTTCCATTTTCCATTTCTTTTTTATGGGCACTATTTTTCTGTAAGATTTTATGTTTCTTCTGTTTGTGCCCCGAATTTAGATTTCTAGAAATGAAGTTTTTGGTAAATTACTTGTCCTCTGCTGCAACAAAATTCACAGGAAGCAGCAAATCCAATCCCAACCATGATGATGATCATCATAATCACCATCATAAGATTATTAACGATAATAATGATGAGTTAATAGCCAAGACTCTTGAGGATAAGCAGGAGAGTGTTCAGTTAGATCCGTCAGAGCTTCCTTCTTTATATGAATCCGATTTCGATGTTGAAGATGATCATCATCAAGAGATCAAAGGCAAAGGGGTAAACGATGGTATGAGTCAAATTCGCGCGTGTAAGGAAGGCTCGTGGCAAATCCTCGTCTCAAAGCCTCGCAAAAGGAGAGAACCTCAATCGGTATGTTAACTTTAGTTTATTAACATTTGCCATTCATGAAATTTCACTTTGTTCTAATCTTTTTAGGGTTTTTCCGTGTCTTTGCTCTAAAAATTTTAGGGTTTGTTTGTATGCTTTTGTGGTGCTTGCTTTGCCTTTTCGTGATCGTGATTTGCTATTTGTATTGTTGTCGTGACCTTGCTGTGATGCCACCTTATTGTGTTATTGCCCTATTGTTGTTCTTATTTCTTGAAAATCTCTCCTACTTCTTCTTCAGAGGGAGAGTGGGAGTGAAGAAAAGAATGGCTTTTGTGAATTAGAAGTTGAGAATTTGGAGGAAAATTTGAAGTTTCGCGACAGCCACTCGAGGGCTTGGAGTGATGACCACTGTAATGGCAGTGGCCCAGAATCGCCAGATTTGGGTGAGGTTACTTCGGATAAAGTTGGTGCCGATTGTGTGCATGGTTTTCATGAGTGTTGGAAGTTACTGGTTAAATTTACTAAATTTGAAATTTAGTTTTGGTTTCTCTTTGACAAACTCATGATTATCACCATAAGATTAAGTGGGAGTGTTGGGGAAAAGAGATTTTCAATATGCCGGGAACACGTAAACCAAGTATAATAATACAATTAATGGAAAACTTGAAGAAAAATTTCAACTAATTGTAATATATGACACTTGGTATACCAAACTGTGTTCCTGACACACTGAAAAACTTCTCGTTGGAGAAGAGGAAATAAGAAAGTCAATAATGATTTTGCAAGTTACGTCCTACATTAGTCTTTGAAAGAAAATATATTTAAGTTACCTCGTCAACAAGATTTAGATTTGCTTGTTTAATTAGGGATTGGTTTTAATTTTGTATTTGAGTTAACCTTGTATCCTACTTTCTTGCAGAGAAGAATAAAATTGTGCGTGTGTGACATTGTATAAGAAAATTCTCAAACATTTTAGTAAACTTACCTTATAACAATTACATTTTTAAATCTTGTTTTGACACAGTTCTATGATGTGTTGTCGTTTTGGAAGAGCAAAGAGAAAGGAGATGCGGATTTAGAAGAAATTACGAATCCAAGATCCACTGTGTAAGATTGAATAAATGTTAGGGACTTGTCACCCTTTATTTTTGAAATTGTGCATGGCGCCCAGTAATGTTTAATGAATCTCCACCTTTAGTGATTGTTTTTCTTAATTAATCACACACTTTTTCCTAATCACCCTTTCCTGAATTCTTCTAATCAAAGCCAATATCCCATTTGAAACATTATCTGCAGACAGGTGTGGTAAATTAAAATACCAATATTAGTTTGAATCATATTCACATTCAAAAGCAGCGCTTACACAAACTTTACAACTGAACCCTAATTATTCAGAAAATTAAAGAACGAGGAACTCATCACTTGACTAGTCGAGCCTAACTTTGTGTGCTGAAGAGAAGTGCCTTGCGGCTACAACCATGGTTGCCTCTGGCCCTGCACTCTTTGCTACAGTTTTATCCTTCCTTACCTTTTCTCCTTCGCCCGCCGATGACGATACAAAGATGCAAGAAGCCACCATCAAAACACGCAACATCGACGAGCTCCTGCTTGTCCTCGACCTTAACCATCTTACGATTGTTCTGTCAACGAAACTGAACCAGTACTCTTTTAACTAAAACAGTAGAACCAGATTAATGACCAAGTAACTTCTGTTTGTTTTTTGATTGTTGAGAGTCATAATAATCACCCGTGCCCTTTTTATAATCTGAGGTTGCTTGATGGTTGAGTTTTAATACGTATAACCTTCACTAAATATATTGGTTCCGAGTGAAAGTTCCAACATTGTAGATTAGATTGCGACGGGAGACCAATTCTGGGAATACTTGTAAATCAATGGGTTCTTTAGATATAGACCCTTGAAACTCCTATTTTCCAAATAAAAACACATCTACATTTAAACATTCAAATAAAACTTAAATTTCAAATAGCCTACCATGTAGACAAATATATGACCAACTATTACAATACAATTACAACTTATGCCATAGAATCCTAATTTGGTCAATAAATGTTATTACTCATCCTAATTATGATGAGCAATTAAATCCATATGGATATTTTACCTTTCTTGTATCATAAATATTAGCAACATATATAAATTAATTTACCAAATTTAAAAGAGAAAGACAATCTTGTACGGAAAAAAAATATTGTTTGAATTATGTAATTACCATACACAAATTAATTTACCTACTATAAAATATTATACTAATAAACCTGCATTTTGAATCATGTAATTACCTACATATAAATATTATACTAATTTACCAACATTTAAATTAATTTACCTACTTATAAAATATTATACTAATTTACCTACATTTAAATTAATTTACCTACTTATTAATATTATACTAATTTACCTACTTATTAATATTATACTAATTTACCTACATTTAAATTAATTTATCTATTCCAAAAAAAAAAAAAATTAGTGATATTAGATAATGTTCGAATGTTGTGGGTTTGTGCTTGTAGGCAATTAAATAAACTTTTAATCTAATGCACATAAATCATGTAGGTAAATTAGACCATTTTGAAAGTAAACTAGACCCTTTAAATTTTGGTTTGATGTAATAGGTAAATTAGACTATTTTGTAGGTAAGAATTGTGCGGAACATATAGCTTTTGTTTTGTGTATTAGGGATTGGAATATTAGCCGAAGCTGTTTTAGGTTTATTGTTGTGTTGGTAGGTAAATTAACTTATATATGTAATGCACAAAATTATAATCAATACCTTGGGAATTAAAGGGGGTATTTTAAAGGATTTTAAAAGTGATAAATTTGATATGATTTAAGAGGATTAAAGACTCCTACAAAATTCATATGGATTTTTAAAGAATTTGAATGGATTGTGGTGGAAGGATTTGAAATCCTGGGGGTGAGGTTGGATTCTTTTTGGTATTGGTTATATATACTTTTGGCTCTCAAATCTCACAACATCTAGAACTTATTGAAATCATCCAAAATCTTAATTTTTTGAATACGCTTAGATTTGGATGGATTTTAAAATCCTTTAAAATCTTTTAATTGACTACACCTAAATTTAAAGGATTCTAAAATCCTTTAATTGACTACACCTAGATTTGAATGGATTCTAAAATCCTTTAAAATCTTTTAATTGACTACATTAAAATTTTAAAGTATTTTAAAATCCTCTCAAATCAAGTTTGACTACACGTACGCTAAATCTGTTTAGCTAGCAGTAGCAGTCAAACATGTGTATGAATTTCTCAGAGGTTGTACAGGACTCAGAAGTCAACATAATTTTATAAACAAATGTAAAAACGTGTGACAAACTTACTCGTTTTGAGTCAATTTTGACATGATCAATTCTACTCCATATATATATATATATAAATTTTTTTTTTTTGAGCTGAAAAGATATATGAAGTACTTAAAGATAATAGAAGACTTAACGTAAAATCGAGTACAGCAGTATTCTAGAATTTATATAACCATCTCATTTAGTGAAATAAATTTTTGTTGTTGTTGTTATGTTGAGCTGAAGGTAACAGGTGAAGAGAAAAGCGCAATAAATTCATAAAAGTTGCAGAGTTTTTGTTTTGATGTGAAGACCAACAAAATGGATTTGGATCTTCTCCTGAGCTAATGGAGAGGATTTTCCTAATCCATTATCGTAGACCGTTGGATTTTTATTTAACGGCTATAATTATTATAACTTTAAAGGAACTTCACTGTTTGTAATCGTTGGATAAAAATTCAACGATTCACGATGATAGGTTAAGAGGATCCTCCCATTACCTCAGGAGAGCATTCAAATCCCAACAAAATGATAAGTCGGAGTCTAGACATCATATGGGCTATTTTTTAAATGCAAATTAGCTGCGAGCCCCTTTTCTGGGATGATAACACAGATCCAGTAACAGTCTTTGGGCCAATCCAATAATCCAATATTTTGATTAGGGAAAAAATGATTACTTTTGTTTTGAACAAAACAACTATATTCGGTGAAAAAAAAATAGCAATGTATAAAGACGCGTATAAAATATAAATTTGAAAATGACAACAAAAACTTCAAAGGATTACAATAAAAATGTACAAAATTTGCGCACATAACTAAAATATATCTTCACAAAAATATAAGGAAAATTGAGCAATTAGCTACAAGAAACATATTTTAAGATTTGATTGGAAAAATTATCGTTGTTTATTATGTTGCTATTATGTCATTATTCTGTTATCGTTATGTCATTGTTATATCGTCGATATTTGATATGTTATTGTTATTGAAAAATGATATGGCTAATTTTCCAAAAGTTTTCGAACCTCGCATTATGCTATATATATATATAGGTGCAATCGGTCATGGGACATGAGCAACAACATTGGAAGTATTATGTTTACACTATTTTGAGGGTCCGTTTAAAAATGTTTCTCTAAAATGTGCTTCTGCTCGTAAACTCTTTTATTAAAAGTGCATCAAATTTGTTTATATAAATTTAACTAATTAAGTATCAAATTCGTAATCCACAAAATTAAAACTTAAAACTGTCCACTTATAAGATTGTAACGCTTTAATCATTTTTGAAGTCTCGACCGTCTGCATGGAGGTTGATCCACGTGAACAGTATACGATAACAAAGATGATGACCCTCGGCGGCCCTAAAAGAAGAAGCTCTGAATAACAAAACAAAAACTCCCAGTTGTTCTGCGTCTCTGACTCTGACCCTTAAAAATCCAAATCCATGTGCGCCCTTGACCGCCCACCGGAAACCCTACGACCCTCGCTGACGGTGACACTGCTCAACAATCCGACGGCGCCACTTGGTTTGCAGAACTGGATAATCTTTGGGTGTTACGTGGCAGGATGCCATTGACTGGAATTTGTCTGTTGTATGCTTGTGTAGGGTTCCTGATATGCTAATCCAATGCATCGGGTCGCTGGGCAAACCGGTGTGGCTCTGCGATATGGCTTTTTTTATGGGTATTCTGTCTGATTAGCAATGGAAAGACAAAATATGGTCCAATGAACGTGGCAGAAAATGTTCTACAAATCTAAAGAATGGCAAGTATCATAATTTAAGATTTTAGCATTTATAGCTTATGAATCCAAAATTAAACAAATAGATATAATTTTTTTCTAATATCACCAAAGGTTTGTAGCTTAGTTCGTTAAAGTTTTTATCGACAAACGAGATTTTTGGGATTCAATTTCTACTCCCCTTGTTTAAAAAAAAAAAAAAAAAAATAAATCTTCAATAATTGAAAAGGATAAGCGGCTTTCGTGTGATTGGATCTTATACTACATCAACGACGTAAATACTCTCACTTGCATAACGATTATCTTGTCTTAAACATTATATTAAGCATGTGTATTTTTGAGTTTGTCTCAAACATTATCCGACCCATCAATATTATCCCTATTATCTATTTGTTAGGGATAAACTGTCGTTCGACTTTCTAAATTATTTTTTGGGTAAATTAACGCCTTGAACTATTTAAGAGACCAACCCTTCGCTGTCAAATTTCATGAAATTTTACCCATTACCGTCAAATGCTAGAACGTGACCAGCACGTGATTTACTCTTAAAAGTAAAATTGTGTCAGCATAACGGCAAAATAGATTAAATTTCATTGAATCTAACGATGAATGGTTCATTGGCTGATTTCATGGGGTTGAAAACAATTTATTTATATAAAAAAAAAGAAGGTGATATGGATAATATCGACAGGTTGGATATTAAAGTAATTATCAGTTTCATCGTCACCATCACGTGGGAGAGTCTGCAGTCTTCGGGGATTTTGTAACCTTTGGAATGGCAATGCATGGAGCACCATGTGCCGGCCCTACCTAAACCCTAATATTAATTTAAACTTGTTTAATTAAGAATGTAATAAAGCCATATGGCTAATTGCTACGGGTGAAGTGTCGTATTTACTTGATTTAAATTTAGTTTAATATTGCTCTAATATCACCGTCCTTGCTCTGCTCCAAAAGTGAAAACGTAATTTATACACATTTTTTTGTCTCGAAATCTTTTTCCTTGTCCAGTTAACAAGATGATAAAATCGATGATTCCGTATCATTAACAATATGAGATAAACTAAACGAAGAGATGATATGTTTATTTACCTAGAATTGAAGAAGTTATAAATCAATAGGAGATAAGATGAGAATGAGCTATGTGAAATAAACAACGATTCGTTGAGAATGATTCTGACCTAGTTCATGGTTTGTTAGAAGCAGAAGACGCTTCGGTAAGATCCTCACATACAAAAAAAAATTGCATTCAGTTTGATAATAATCGTGTGACATTGCTTTATTCGGCCCAAACCAATAAATTCCTTGATATAATGCAAAATGGATTTTGTTATATAGTTTATCAGAGATCTTTCTATACCAACAATATGAATCAGAGTGTGAAAAAGGAAAATGAGTCATCAACGCCCAATGAATAGAGAATACTTGGTGGTTCTATATCATAGACGAATGAGTGGGCTAAGTCGTATAATAAGTTAACAATAATATGATTCAAATTCATCTTTAACGAGAATCGAACTTAAATCTATTACTTACAAATGAAGAATAATTCTCTTAAATTATATTACTAAGTGGTTTTTCAACCGCATTAACTTTGAGGTATTGCATTCTCAATTATTAGTTTTTAGGTTTGAATGATATTTAGTTTCTTTATTTTCTTCCCATTCATACCAATCTTTGCAAAAAATAAAAATAAAAACAATT